CAGGCAGCACGCTGGCTGGGGAATTCTGGGAGTTGAAGTCCACACTTCTTCAAGATGCCAAGGTTGGGAAACACTGATATACGGTGAAGCCGCCCTGCATCATTCTCCGAATATTTCTCTGGAGTCAAGATGCTGCCAACTTCCATTGAGAACCTTCCTACTTTTTTTCCACTGCTTTTTTCTTCAGGTTTACTTCTGAGGAAAAGTCCTTTCAGAACAAAAAGATGTAATCACTGTCTTTGGACTGATGCCTGCGGGAATATAATGCGGTCTTTCTAGGTTTACATGTCAGGCCAGGCCATTGTCTATTTATCCATTGGTTATGGAGTAAGCTACAATTATTCAGTAAATGGTTTTACACACTGTGTTAAGCTATCAACCACATTGCACCAGGGACAATGCCAGGTTTCAAACCGTCTGTTAAGCCCAAAGCCACTGTGCCGTTACTGTGTGATGCAGAAACCTGGCCTTTGTCTTCATGGCGCCTCCTTGAAGAGAGCACCCACGTGTTCAGTGGTGTGTGGTTTGGTGACAGTGCTTTGGTTCAAAGGTGCTAACTTGGAGCTCCTCAGCCAAACAGACAGCAGCCCGCCAAGGAAAAACAGAATTGAGAAAAGATTGCCCTCGCACGTTTGTGCCAAATTCCCCCAGCTGTTTCTCTTCCGGTATGGTTTCCTAAATAGAGGAGTCATCTCCAGATGTTTTTCCAAAGCAAGTGAGGCAATAGCAGAGGAAGCTTGGAACAGCTGTGCTTATTTAGAAACTCTGGAAGTTTTTTTTTCCACAACAGCCTTGTCCCTGACCTATTTATCATTCCATTTTTTTAACATACATATACAGTAAAAAGGCTATTCAGTTATTTATGGATTCACTCAGTTTTGTTTCCTGCTAAGATAGACATACGCGGGGCTGGTTCATATGTTGCCCCAAACCATAATATGGTTAGTCTATGCCTTAGTGTAATGTGTGAAGCCAGTCACTTGCGGCTTGTTCAGCAGAGCAGCATTAAAATAAATCAGGGATTACTGTGATCATTTCAGAGGATCCCTTAATCTTTCAGAGACTTTTGGAGAAGATGGCAGGTCTTTGCATTGGGAAAGATGAGGAAGGAAACTATCCTTGAAGATCCAGATCACAGCACTTTGTCACCAAGATATTGGGAGGCAATGGCCGGCCAGCTAGATAGTTATGATTGCTACCGAGAGGTCTAAAACACAAGGAACTTGCATGTCCTTTTTTAGGGAATATGGTCCCTGGGGGAATGTCTTAAATTCAGACAGTATGGTCATCTTTGCATACAAAAGAATGATTTCAGCCTTCTCCAACCTGTTGGTTTTGCTGACCTGAAACTCTAGGAGTTGAAGTCCTAATACAGGAGCGGGAGAGCCCAGAAGGAAGAAGGCACTCCTATTACTGTTGTTAGCCACCCAGAGTTGTGTTTCACAAGATGGGCCACCATATAAATCATATAAACCAACCAACCAACCATCCTAAATGCCTTTTAGAAAGAAATGATATGCGAGGGGTCTGCAGGTTCCTACTGCTTTCATCAAAATGTGAAAGCAGCATCACATCCCAAAGCCCCCCTATTTTGGGCATGCCTGTGACATCACCGCGTACAAAAAGGGGAGGTCTTGTGTTGGCATGGCGGGATGCTGCTTTTGCATTTGCTCCCCCTGCAGACGCTGCAGAATACTTAATAACTTTCCTGATGCACCACCCTGGGTCATTATGTTAGGGTTTGTTTGACCATAGTTTATTGAAAGCACAGTTGTCTGGCTTTCCTTAATATGCCAAATAGTAAACCAGCATTTCTGAATCCCCGTGACTGGATTTGTGCAGCACAGACAAGCAAAGCCCATTATTAGCTTAAGAGAATGTGTGAACCCAGCTTCATTCTGTTCTATCGCAGAAAGGACACAAGGAAACAAAGAGCTGATTTCCAGGACTCACCGGTCTTTTTGCTGAAGCCGATGACTAAGCTGCGTGCTGCGTGAGTATGCTGCCTATGTTCTGAAGCACTGTTTCATTTTGGAGAATTGTAAATGGAATTACTTCACGGATGGCACTGAGATTTTTGTGTGGGAAAGAAAAGTCTGTGTTAAAGTGGCTCCTTGCCTTGGCTTCAGCCAGGAATCATGACTCTTTCTTGCCATGAAGAGCAGAAAAAAAACAAGTTTTGTCTAACTCATTGTTTAGACAGGCTCATTCTTTCGGCCCACAAGGCTAAACTTGGTTTATCAGGACAAGACCTATCATGTATAAAATGTGTGAGTGTGTGTGTGTGTGTGTGAAAGAGAGGGGGGAAACAGCTGAGATGACAGAAACAGGGTCTAAAACTTGAGTCTATTCTAAAAATTGGACTCAAGTTTTGATTGACCCAAGGGGATGCTAAGAGGGCTCTTACATTATTTTAATAGTCCCAGCAAGTCTGAAATGGTGGCGGTGGTGGTAGATTAACAGTTACAAATTTGTATGCAGTGATTTTGAGTCTTTTTGAGATCCCAGTTCAATTGATACTGTGAAAGTTCAGTAAATAAGTAAGTAAATAAATTAAATTCTTGCCTTTCCAAAAGTGGCTGTGTTGACATGTGGGAGTTTACTAGGGATGCAAAATGCAGTAAAAGTGTAACATTGCAAAATATAATCGTGTGCCAGCATGAGAGAGAATTAACTTTAGTACTTGAATGCAAGTGTCAGCCTTTGAAAACTCTATGGCTTATGTTCTGCCTATCTATCAATCATACAGAGTTTAAATCTCTGAGGTCAGAGTAATTTTATTCAAAGAAATACAAACTTCTTTAGGAAAACGTCTTATGTAGATTTAAGCCTTAAAGGGAATATTATACTTTGTTTAGTCCTGTCTTCCCCAACTTGGTGCCTTCCAGAGATATTCAGATTGCAGACTAAACCTCAGACAGCATCTTAAAAAAGCACAACAGGTTTTTCTGTCCTGGTATTTTAAAAAAGGTAATAACTACAGAGGCAGAAAATCCTAACATTCTCACTCTGAGATAAAACATTCTGACAAATATTCCAAATATTTTAAAAAGAGTACACGTTGTTATCAAGCATCCAGAGTCAAATGACTTTAATGCTCCCCTTCCTCACGTGACTGAAGAAATGGCTCAGTGATCATCTTTAACTTTTCATCAAGATAACTGCAAAAAAATTAACAATGATAGTTAATTACAAGTGTGGTGCATAAGAGTGATTTGCATTCAAGTGCAGGACACAGTTGACTGAGAGGCAAGCTATTTCTCTTGGAATATGACTACAAAGTAAACAGTTTGCACTTAAAACTACCTGGGAGCTTTTGCTGCACTGGGTTTCTTACAGAAACTTCCCATAATTCTTTATTTTTAAAACTGTTCATTGGTTTTCGTCAGTGTTTTTCAAACTTGACAACTTTAACCTGTGTGGACTTCAGCTCCCAGAATTCCCCAGGAGGCATGAAAACTGCAGTTGCCAAGTTTGAAAAACAGTGATTTATGTTCTCAAGTGGATGAAGAACCTTTGACCACAACTCCAGCTCTGGGAGACCTCCAGGTCAGTGTTTTTAACAGTACAGCTCCAGAGATTCCAGCAGTAGCCAAGGAAGCTTTTCTTGACAGATGACACTGCCTTCTTAGCGTATCCATCCAGTTGGTTCTTCCAACACAACTAGAAGTACCGGCTTAGTTTGGCCTTATTTATGCGTTCCTGAAAAGACAGATCACATCCAATTAAGTCAGAAGATGCCTCTTTCCCATAATTTCATGTGGCTTCCATTGATGTTGATGTTCCATACACAACATATGGAACTCGGTAACACCCTAAAGGAGAGAGAACCCATTGGTCCATTTTACTAAGAGTGGTAGATTTGAGAAGTCTGAATTATGGGGATAAGGCAGTGTTCCTCAACCTTGGCCACTTTAAGCTGTGTGGACTTCAACTCCCAGAATTCTCCAGCCAGCTGAGCTGGCTGGGGAATTCTGGGAGTTGAAGTCCATACAACTTAAAGCGGCCAAGGTTGAGGAACACTGGTGTAAGGGAATGAACAAATGCTTTCTGATGTGTTTTTTTTAATAAAACGATAAACTCCTTAGTCCTTGCTCAGTGAAAATGAGTAAAATGTGTTCCATAAACTAAAATGTTTCATTATAATTCACTGTCATCGCTGTCAACATCTTAGAACATTTAGTCTTCAGGGAGATTCTGAAGTGGCAATTCTTTTTCCTAAGAAGGTGCTCAAAATTAGCCATGGGCAAGTACATCCAATTTCATTTCTCTTGGTTTCTCATTTTTGTGAATATGTCGCATTTGGCTGAGCATTTAAAAAAGCCACTCTTGTACATTTTGTCTGTGTTTGGATGCAGATTCTGCCAAACAGACGACTTTTTACTTGCAGCACTGCCTACTATACACAGTTTTTGCGTACACACTTCCTGTTACAATGCAAGTTTAGGCACTAGCTTTAAGAATATATACATTTTTGTACAGATTTTTCTTCCATCAACTAAAATCAAAAATGGTGAGCTGCACTGCAAAATCCATAAATGTGGGAGCTTTGAATAACTACTGCGTTTCAGCTTATATATGGAGTTCAAGTGCCTAGTTACATACATACACATCCAAGTGAAAACTTACGATTTTTTCCCAGTCCCTATACCTAAAATCCACCCCAAACTGCTCTTCAGCTGCCAATTCTTCAAACTCCTTTCGCTGAGAGAAACCCAAGGCAGCTGACAATTGGGATGACCTCAGGGTAGGGAGCTGCCCATTCGTAGCGTCACTTACTGGACTAAGCTATGGTTTGTTCAGTCAAGATTGAATGAATAAACTATATTGCCTGGGTTAGCACACTAATCCATGATTTACAACCACAGTGGCTGGATCCATACCACAAGCTAAGCCCAAACTAAACCAATGGCATTATGGCTTATATTGTAGGTACTGTAGCGTGAAGCAGGTCGTTAGTATTTCTTCAAATTTTAGACTAGGGAAAATGGCGCTCTTTTTGTTGCCGTGATCCTAATGTTTGGCGCTGCAGATTGCTAATGTCTCTCTTTTTGCCATATGTGCAAACAGCTTTTTCACATTCTTGGTTATTTAAACAACTGAAAGTCATTAATGTGAGTTAATGTTTTTTGGAACAGCTAATTAACAGGATGGCTGTGATTCAATAAAGTCAAACCTCCCTATGTATGAGGGGGAAAAAAAGTGTTAGGCAATCATTTTTTCCTCAGCACTGCAGATGGAAACTTCCATGGCAAGCAACGACATGCAATTTTTATTATCTTTGAAAAGATATTAATAGAACCTTTAAAATGTCATTCATAAATAAACAACTGCTAGGAAAAATAATTGCACATAGTCCCATTCCACTACTGATAAGCAGAATTTGTTTACTTGGTAATAATGCGTTATTAGTTTTCCTTTTCTAGATTGTCTAACTTCATTATTTGCAAATATACAATCCAATGTGGATAATATACTATTTTTTCTCCAAAGGAACTCAAGACGTTTTCCCCCAAATAATGACCTCTGAACTGAAGGGGTCATCTTCCATTTCTTGAGAACATCAGAGAACAGGCAGGGGTAGGATGTAAAAAAATGTCAAGATGGTCGCCATGACCGTGTGACTAAAGCTCCACCCATTTTTTGTGGCCACCATCTTGACTTTTTTTTTTTTTACCACATCCTATGGATACCCCTGGAACAGAGGATGACGCAGATGAGAAAGAGCAAATGAGTGGGTAGGAGGTACAAATACAACAAGAAAAGGAAATGGGTGAGAGGGAGGAGACAAGCACTTTAGCCCTCCCTCCCCTTGTAGAGAGAGCCAGTTTGGTGTGGTGATTAAGGAGCTGGCCTAGAAACCGGGAGACAGTGACTTCTAGTCCCGTCTCAGGCACGAAGCCAGCTGGTGACCTTGGGCCAGCCCCTCTGTCTCAGCCCTGGGAAGAAGCAGGCAAGGGCAAACCACTTTCGAAAGACCTTGCCAGGAAAACTGCAGGGACTTGCCCAGGCAGTTGCTAGGAGTCAACACTGACTCAAAGGCACCCACACATGCCCCCCTGTAGAGGTCACTTTTGCAATGGAAACCCTCCCCTACCCCAGAAGGAGGCCATTCCTTTCGCAAACAGAAAGAACCCTCTCCCCAGGATGGCTTCTCCAGTTGCCACCCCGGATTGCATGGGGAAAACTGGGCCAAGCAGAGCGAATCCAGCACAGCAGCCACTGAATTGACCTAGGAGTAAAAACCATGAAACTATCTGGTAACTTGGACTGGTTTATGCTTGCTGAGCCCAGATCTCCAGGCTGTCTTTCTCTGTGCGTGAGAGTAGTTTGTCTGAAAGATAGTGGCTCTTGTCTGGATGTGCAGATAAAAGATCAATTACTTTCACAAACAGAGTTCCTTATTTTATAGGCCATTAATTTTAATTGGCAGTCATTATCTCAAGTAATATTTGTTTTTGTTCTAACTCTCCCCTTCCCATTTTTTGGGGGGGTTAGGATAGCCTGTGGTTAGTGTGGGGGGAGATTTATAGATACATGCACACACGTGTGTGTCTGTATGCATACATATATGGATACATCTCCACAAGTGTGTCACATGCAAACATCTGTTGGGAGAAGAACATCTCCAAGATTGCTTTCAGTGGGAGTTGGCAATTACAGCTGAAAAAGAACAGAAGGTGAGGAAGGCACATCATTTTTCTATGATTGGCGGATTGATTGGCTTTTTCCTGTCTAAACTGCTTTTGTTTGTGGGTAGGGAAGGGATTGCCTTTAATATAGCAAGCACTTTCTTTAGGATAAATACAGAGATTTGTTTTAGAAATCTGTCTTTTGAAGGAAACCTTTAAAAAAATGTTTTGGCTGAAATTGTTATTTTCAAAGTAGAGAAATAAATTCATTACCTAAAATAAATGGTAGCACTAAGGACTTCTCCTCACGCTCCTGTGAATGTGCATTACTGCAGGCACTGAACTGCAAGAAAACTCTGCTGACATAAATTGTGCTGCCCCGTAGCCAAGCTCCCCTTCTGCCTTCGTGACGAGGCTAATAGTTGGTGCTGCCTTTACCGTTTTAACAGAGGAAAATTTAAGGGTGGCAGTTCTTCTGGTTACATCCCCCCGCTCCCGAATCACATGGCAGAAGGACAACCTCCCATCACTGCCTTTAATGTGAGTAGTTTTGGGCAACACCTGGAACAGAGACTTTGCCCACCTTTCAAGTTGTCTGAGTGACAGGTCACCAATGCGGAGGTTCTCCAAGCTGTGGCCCATCACTCAAGCTATTTCTAAACATGAGTCTACTGGTCTTCTGAAAGAGAACTAAACCTGCCTCTGAAAACAGCCCAGTTGACCGGTCAGTGGAGCGAAGGGACAGTGCAGAGTAAAGTAGGATGGAGTTTTCCAGGCACATCAGAAGACCTCCCTCCTGTTTCATCCCATGCCTTTCCTCTACTACATTTCTCTGTCAGGGTTAGTGCTCTTCCAGAAGAGCAGTAGACCAGTGTTCAAAAATAGCCAGAGTGACATAGCTGGCAAAACCTGGCTCTCTTTCCCAAGATAAATCAATCTTCTGGGCTACTGCATATTTGAGGAAGTGCTAATCCTCTTTTTTAACACAGATCTAGCAACATTCAAAACAGCATCTAACATGTATACAGGGAGCCCACATTAAACAAATATAACTCCTTTCACTATGGTGATTGACCTGTGATTTGATATAATAAACAAAACCCAAAACATTTTAAAACCTACATCAGTTTTCATATATCAGCAAAATTACCAGTGGTTACAAGAAGTCATTCTGTGCCATGATGGTGATCTTCTCATAGCATATCCTTGTCACTAAGTAGAAAAACTTTGCCATAGAATAGGTGACTTTAGGATTTCTAATGGCTTTATAACATTTGGCAGTGCAACCAGGAAAATTCTTCAATAATGGCTAGAATAGCCATCCTCTCAAATAAGAGAGGATGTAAGTAAAAGAGACAAAAACTAAAAAGACATGCTCTAGGATTCAATCACGCCTGATCCACATGGACATTGCAATCCCGGAATTTTTTGAAATCTGCCCTTCTAGATGTCTGAAGGAAGAGCATTAAAGCCAGGCCTGGAAAAGGTCCATCTATAATTAGAGGAAGTCACAAAATACAAATATTTTGCAGGTGCAGGCCTCTGTATTTCTCTTATATTTTGTAATATCACTCAGCTCATTTTATTGCTCTATATTTCCAGTCTGTTGCCTAATTAGTTCCTTGGCCTTCTCCAAACCCCAATTTAACAAGAGCTTAGGGCCACACTTTCTATAGTCCCAGTCAGTCTTTACACAGGCAGATGTCTCTGTGGAAACCATGTGTCCAATCTGTCCTGCAGACCAAACCAAAATGCGCATGGAGACCATTGCCTAGGGACCAGGCAGGAAGAAGCCTCAAGTGGCCATTAGGAGCTGGGAGGATCCCAGCCCCCTGACTGTGCCATAACTCACATTGTCAGGGATGTGTCCACACTTGGGAGAAGAAAGAAAACACTACTTTAAAACAGGATCAGCAAAAGATGAATTGAAGGAGCCTCTGTGGTGGGCTGGCAATGAGACAAAGGTTGCTGCAGTTTGTAAAACTGAGTCCTGAAACCCTACAATCCAAAATAAAGTACCAATAGAAGAGAATATATGAAACTCAGGGTTGAACTGCGGAGTCCTTGGTG